CCAACTTACAAGAGCAAAATCCTGAACTTAACTTGTTTGATCGAAATTCAAGGAGATTAACAGATTGTTCTGTTTAAGAAGGGGGCTGGGCACCATGAAGGCACACCTTTAATCCTAGCACTTGGGAGGAAGGGGTAGGCAGGTCCCTTTGAGTCCCAGGCCAGCTAGAGCTACACAGTAAGGTCCTATTTGAAAATCCTGGGTAAATCACGCAGGCCAAAGACAATGGAGAGTTCTGAGTGCCATGAGCTGACCTCTGAATACATACCTTGTCCAAGAGAAAGACAGTTTACTACGCCACACTGGGATGGAGTACAGAAGCACAGCCAAGAAAAATGTTCAGAGAAACACCGCTGGGTCCGGGGATTCAGCCACACTAAGTGTCGCTGGAAGGAATCCTTTAACAACCATCATTAGCTACTGAACTCTGCGACGTGATCAACGGCAGTGTCGTGAGCGAAGAATGCCTTTTGACCTTCAAGGCTTGGTAGACGTCCGCAGTTGACCCTACTGATCTGTCAACGTGACTTGCCAATTTGACAGTCTGGAATCACCCAAGCAAGGAATCTCAGAGAGAAATGATGCAGATCATATTGGCCTGTGGGCATGCCTATGGGGGTATTTGCTTGATTAATGATTGTGCAAAGGTGGTTCTGGGCTGTATAAGAAAGCTCCTGCCAGCAGGCCAGCAAGCTGCGCTCCTCCATGGTTTCTGCATCAAGTTCCTGCTTGAGTTCCACCCTCGCTTCCCTCAGCGAAGGACTGTAACCGGGAAATGGAAGCTAAAGAATCCATTTCCTTCCCTAAGTTGCTTTCGGGCAGCGTATTATAGCAGCAACAAAAGAGGAAACCAGGACAGCAGCCTAACGCTGGCCGCGGGTCACCACCAAAGGAGCAGAGTCTCCCATTCTAGCAAAGAAGGAAGAGGCCAGCTGTGAGTCAATGGATTCAGGCTAAGGTCGCTGAATCACACAATTGTCGATGTTAAGGCCAAATCTGGTCCCGAGATTATTTTGTTTGACCTGCTCAGTGAGGTCGCTTTTGTTTTGGCTTTTGGCAAGTTTGAATGAATTGCCAATGCTTCGATACTGGAAGATTACCCTTAAGAAATCTGAATTTCAGGGTTCCCCCCAAAGAAAACAGAAATTCTGCCAATGTTGGGAATAGTGTGATTAATAAAAACTCAGAGACAGATATTAGGGTACAATCTGAAGGTCAGAAAAGCAAAACAACCAGCCACTAGCTCTTACCTTTACCTCAGTCTGAAAACGGCAATCCTGCCTCCTGGAACCCTCAGAATGAGATTGTGTGTGAGAGCTGACTCCTCCCATCTTATATTCCTCTCTAGGGCTGGGATTGAAGGCTTGCACCACTACTGGCCGGTTTCTATGGCAAACTAGTGTGGCTACTGGGATTAAAGGTGTGGGTCACACTGCCTGGTCTGTAAGACTGATCAGTGCAGCTGTTTTACTCTCTGAACTTCAGGCAAGCTTTATTTATTAAAATACAAATGAAATATCACTACAGTTGGGCCCTTGTTTTTTATGTAATAATTAGCTGAACCTGACGAACTTTGGTCTTTGTTGGCTGAACATCTCTCTAGATTCTTCCACTCTCTGATAAGTCCCGAAGTCCGGATGAAGACTAAGTAAGTATACTTAGTATCTCACCTTGCTTGCCCTGATATCCCTGGCACAGCCCCAGCCTTCTTTATTTACTCTGTGCCTATCTCACTGGCCATTGACTTTCTCACCAAGCCAATGAGAAGCCATCTCTTCTAAGTCCTATCCAGCCTCAGAGAAGACATTAAACAGGATCTGTCAACTATCTGGAGTCACACACACACACACACACACACACACACACACACACACACACCGCCACCACGCCCAGCTTTTCCATAGGCGCAGGATGTCAACATCACCTCTATATGTCCTGCCTGCACCATGTGCTTTGTGCTTCCAGGATCTGGCTACAGCTGTTTCATGCAACCCAGCCGAAAGCTTGGCCCAGGAGTGTTCTGGTGAAGTGATCCATGACCAAGACACCAAAGTCGCTGATGTGGCCTTCTGTTTCATAGTTTTATACAACTTACTTGTCATAATTTGAATCCAATCTGATCTCTGAAAGCTCTGTTTAATGGTGACCCTAACCTGTGCACCAGAACAAATCCTCCTCCTTTCTCCAGTCCACCGAAAGGCTGACATAGTGATGAGAAAAGCAACGTCATGCAGGCCTCAGTATTTGCGGATAGGGTTAGCAGGCATGATGCTTGCCTTCTCCTTGGAACACAGTCCTTTTGAAAGCTCGACACCGTGCACTAGTGACCTAAACTATCCTCTAGCTATTGCATTTTTGAGGTAACCGAATGCATCTAAAGCATATCTACTGTCCTATGGCTTTCCCCCACCATAAATGGCCAAATAGCACAGGTGACATAAGAGAGAGAAACTGGGAGACTCATGGGAACAATGACAGCGGTGGAGACCCAGGGTCCCTCGGAGACTCGGGCTGCTCCCACCTTCATATGTGAGGTCACCAAGTCTGCTAACACTTTTCTTACCCTGCTTCTGCTCAAGCTTAAGAATTTCTTTAAAAGCACGTCATATAACAGAGTTCATTGGTTTGTTTAAGGGAGATTTTCCCTGCACAGCCAGGCTGGCCTCCAATGTGCAATCCTCCTGCCTCATCCTCCCGAATGCTGGTATGAGAGGTGTCAGTCACCATGCCTACTTCTGTACGACAGGTTTAAAGTGAACAAGGACACTCAATGTAACTGAACGTATAAAATGGCATCATTCAGAGCAATGGGGGTGGAATGCTGAGAGGCGACTACAGGAACCAGGCCCAGCACTTAACAGTATTAATAAAAGTCAACATTTATGACTACGCCAACAATGCAATGCAATAACTCAAAGGAGAGGCTCTGAAGGTGGCAAATTGGGTTCATATGTTCAACTGACTAGTTTCTTCTCTTTTTGAACACGATTTACTGTTTTTCATCGTGTGTATGTGTGTGTCTACACGCATGACTGCGGGTGCCCATGGAGGTCAGAGAGTTCTATCAGTCCCCTTGGAGCTGGAGTTACAGGCAGTTGTGCACCACCTGATGTGGGGGCCGGGAATTGAACGTGGGTCCTCTGCAAGGGGAGCACATGTTCACTCCTGAGCCATCTCTTCAGTCCCAAGATCGACTATCAAAATCCTCAGTCTAAAATCAAAACAGTGCAAAAACGGTGTGGCTCTCTTGACTGCAGGCTTCAGGAGCGTTCGTGGTGACTAGCATTACAAGCAAGGGAAGCCAAGAGAAACGGCTGTGACTCCACCGGCCCAGGAAGTTAAAGACAGGTTCCTGCTGAGCACAGCTCCACCATGATGTCATAAAACACAGGTCTAGGGAAAAGCACAATGAATGTGCATCATTGTTGAAGTCAACCGCACTCGCTGTTTCTTCGCTCTCCCCACCAGTCATGTGGATGGGAAGCAGACACAGAGATTTTAATCACTTGCTTAGTGTAGAGGCAACTCACAAAACCAAACTGAAAGCCACAAACTTAGGCGAGGACCCAGATTGTTGGGGCCCATCCTAAGGGCAATATTCAGCCACACTTCAATGTCTTGGCCTGGGGGATGGTGTTTAGTCCCATCTTACCTCCCAGCATCATCTAGTATAAATTCCAGGGTCCAGCTGCTCCCAGAGGCTGTGGTTCCTCTGCAAGCAGCTGACCAGCCCCTAGGTGTGCTAGGCTCTGGTTCAGTGGGGACTCCTTCCCACGAGGAAGATACGCTTCTCATTCCAGTCTCAATAAAGAGCCTGCCCCCAGCACAGAACTCTTCTACTCACAACCCCAGATGAACCGCTTTTCTTGCTATTCAATACTGGTACACTGTTGGTGCGTCTGCCCGTGAACTCCTCCTTCTGGACCATCTCACACGACACACACATGGAAGAATGCTGTCTATCCTACCGGACTCAACAGAGGGCATGCCTTCGATTTTAAATTTTAGACTCAACAATAAATTATAGCTTAATCCTTCCGTCCACAAAAATCATTTAGTGTCTACTGAAAAAATTAAACATAGGCACTAGCTGGCTTAGAATACCTGCTTTTCTTCCTTGACAATTTTTAATTAAAACTGAGATACTTATTGCCAGGGGAGTCTTTTCCAGAGAGCTGCAATTCCTCAAGCAAGACACTGATGCCTGTCACTGCGGCCCCCACAATTCTCCACCACAGCGATAGTCTCTCAGGAAGAATTGAGGGACATTTTAACATAGAAAAAGGCCACAAAAATGGGGGATTCAAAAGAGGGGATGAAATACGAACGAGAAATCCGATCTCATCTGTCTAAACATCAGCCTCTTGGTCTATTTCAGCAGTTCTCAACCTGTGGATCAAAACCCCTGGTGGGGGGGGGCGCTGAATGACCTTTCCACAGGGGTCACATACCAGATATCCTGTATATCAGATATTTACATGATTCATAACAGTAGCAAAACGACAGTTATGAAGTAGCAACGGAATTATTTTATAAGGTTGGAGGGGGGGTCACTACAACATGAGGAACTGTATTAAAGGGTCGCAGCATTAGGAACATTGAGAACCCCTGGTTTAGACAGCGTCCAGGTCTATCTGAAGCCAAGGACACCTTTTCTGACAGTTCAGACACTAGCCACTGCCCGCCGTCAGAGCTAGTATTTTAGAGCAGCAATGAAAACATTAAGAAGCCAGTCAAGAGTTCCTAATGTCTTCTTTCCCATTTTATTACACACTTGCCCTTCTCATAGACCCTTCCTT